AACATGTGCTAAATAACATTATTACTTGAAAAATTTTGATTAAAAAGTCAAATGCTAACTAATGCAAATTTAGAAACTACAAATTTTTTGCCATTTGTCAACTAAGCTTTTAAGGCAGGGTAGTGGCATTTAGGGGTCAAGCATATTTTCCATTCACCCAAAACGTTTAAAAAATTCACCACCGTCCACGAGTCTTCAATGTTCTTAAGCCACCACCACCGTCCATTACTCCGCCGTGGCCATGAACCCACCACCGTCCACCCCCACGGCCAATTTAAAAATTTCTCACAAAGTGAACACATCCACAAAGAAGCAAAAAAGTGACTTTGCATCAAGTACAATTTGACTTTAGCCACGTATAAACTTATATAAATTAACCGCAAAATTTCCCCACCTTAAGATTCAAGACGACAGTTTTCTTGTTTACAGAGTATTTGTTTATTCGAAATCCTTGGAATATTACGAAAATTCCTAAACATTTGTCGAAACACCGTAAAGGCCTTTTTGATTTATCCATTTTTAGTTCCCATTTAACTATTTAACTACCAACAAGAGAAGAGAACCAAGGCCAGAACTGTAATTATGCAGCCTTCAACAGTGACGAAAGAACCCACAAATGCTTTTCGCTTTGTATCCGAATTAGGTTCTTTTGTGCTTAATAATTCGAGGCTCAATCGAGATGGGAACTCATCATTTTTAACGAACTACTTGTATTTTGATGCAAGAAGGGAGCCAAAGGCTTTGGCTTCTTTGAGTTTGAGCACCAAAGGTTCTGCCTTTAGGTTCAGAAGAGCGTTGAATCAGTTTAACAGAGCTATTAAGTTCCACAGTGAGAGAATTCCACTTGGTTTTGCTGAGTCCCCGGTTAATTCTGAGGAGAATAATGGGTATAGAAATGATGGGAATGGGGTTTTGGAGAATTCGGAGGAAGTCCCGGTTAGTGGTGATTCTAAATGTCCTAAGAAGGTTTTGATTTTGATGAGCGACACAGGTGGCGGTCACAGGGCTTCAGCCGAGGCCATTAAGGCTGCTTTTCGTGAAGAGTATGGAGATGAGTATCAGGTTAGTCTCTGGTTGATTGATATGAATATTTTTTATTGCTTTGATAAATGATCAATTAGTTTGAATTTGATACGAAAAAGAAGATTTAAGATCTAATCTCTTGTTATGAAACAAAATGAAAATCACAATAAGCAATTCTAAGACACATAATTATAGTTGTTCACCCAAGAGCCGTGGCAGGTTTTCGCTATAATGGAATCAGAGGCAGAGCTAGGCTTGTAGAGTTGTGGGGGTGAATTTCATAAAATTTTAATTGTGGTGGCAAAATTGAAAATTATAAGGAATTTTTTTGAAAATCTTGAATTTCACATTTAGTGTGGAGGCAGCTGACCATCCGCACTGGATGAAGAGGAAAGGTATAAAGTTTTCCTAGCATCTCTCACACCTTCAAAAGGCCACCCTATTTCTTGATCTATGTGGTGGTCTCTTTGTGCAGGGGATTTACTGTTCCAATTTTCTTTTGAAGGTTCAAACACTATAATAATAAGAAAGGAAAGCAGGACAAACATTAAGAAAGGCTAGCGGGAATATTCACCACTATGCTACACCTCACTAAAATCATTTATATAGTATAATAATCGGTGCAAAACCTAATGCATGAAATGAATATCAATTATGATTAGACGTCACACAGTCCAACATTGTATGCAAGAATGAGGAAAAAAACACGTAATATGATTGCCATATCTGTGTGTTGTGCTTTATACATTCACCTTGCTTCAAGTATCAGCAGAACCACACCGTTTTATTTAATTTCCTTGTTCATTTTCTTTTTTGTTGTTAAAATGTGTATGTTGTAGGTGTTCGTTACTGATTTGTGGACGGATCATACGCCATGGCCATTTAACCAACTGCCGAAAAGTTATAACTTCCTTGTGAAACATGGAACTCTGTGGAAGATGACATACTATGCTTCAGCACCACGAGTAATTCATCAATCCAATTTTGCTGCCACATCAACTTTTATTGCTCGGTAAGGCTGTTTCTTATTGTTTGAAAAATGGCTTTGTTGCAGATTTATAGTATTTTCAGTGCTTCATATATTTTTGCAGTTTTCATTCTTTGATTGTTTATGTTCTTACTGTAATAAATAAAATTTATATTATTCTATATTCTTATAACACTTAATCCTATCTAATCGCCTGCACTTATCTGTTGACATAATTGGGTATAGTTGTTCTTTTGGGGCTCCTCGTAGAAATTACAAGTTCGTAAATTCTGAACGAATGTTATTGCTGTTTGGAGAGTTGTAGATCTGTTTTGCCTGTGAATACTCACTTGGAATCTTTTTCTTCATCAGAATGATAATCTTAATGCCTTATATTAAAATTTTAATAATTATGCTGTAGGTATGTCATTTGATGAAGAGGATTGTACAACTTTTGGGTTGGTTGTAATTGAAATAGTCGAATTTATTATTTCATTTTAATTATTATGTTGATTGCAATGAAATCATGGGTCCTGTTTTTTATACCATCGAGGCAAAAATTAATTAGGACCTGTATCTAATTGAGCATAAATTGTAAACTGGTATAATAGCATGTAATTCAGGCACCTTGGAGCCAGAGCCAGTTTTCACTTATTGACATGTATTTTATACGCTAGTATTCTGATAAAAATTATTCTCTACGGCTTGATTTTAAGAGTCGCCGGACTTTTTTTAACCTAAGTGATGAGTATTTAAGGCTATAATTCTGTTTTTTTCTTATTATTTTTTATTTCGAATAAAGTTAGGAACTCTTACAAAAATGATCTTTTATAAAACTCTAGTGTTCAATGGCAATGAGGGTCTTGGTTGTTAGTCGTTGACTTTAGTGGCACTATGCTTGGAATTCTCTTACATTTTTATTTTCTCAAGAATTTGTATCATCTTTTAAAATCCCAATGCAAGTATATGTCATGATCCTCATGGATTTAACAATTTGCAAGATTATGAAACTGACGGATTATAATCTCTCCATCTCGACTCTCTAATTCCTAGTCGATCCACTGTACCATATATTTGTCTGCAGAAGTTTTCTATCTATAAAATTTATTTGTTCTCACTAGTTTTACTTTGTCACTCGACAGAGATGTTGCTAGAGGATTGATGAAATACCGGCCAGACATTATTATCAGTGTCCATCCTTTGATGCAACATGTTCCACTTCGTATCTTGAGGGCTAAGGGTCTCTTGAAGAAGATAGTTTTTACCACAGTTGTAACGGACTTGTCCACTTGTCATCCTACATGGTAAACTCAGCAGCCATTTGCCAATTATGCTATTTTTTTATCTAAATTTGATTTATTTTGTAATCTTATATGTAGGTTTCATAAGCTTGTAACAAGATGCTATAGCCCATCAGAAGAGGTAGCGATACGAGCACTAAAGGCTGGTCTTCAGCCTTCTCAAATTAAAGTTTATGGCCTTCCTGTACGGCCTTCCTTTGTGAAGCCTGTTCGTCCCAAGGTTGGTTTAGTTCCTATTTCATCACATCAATTGCATAATTGGTGTTTCAGTGTGTGGGCAAATAACCTTTGGCATGGTTTCCATCAATCTTTTGTTACTAAGGGTAACCTGTTTTAATAATTCAAAGCTCTTAAGATTGCTTCTTTTTCGGACCCATTGCCAGCAATAAATCAGCTCGATCTTCTGCTTTTGATATCTTTTGCTTTTTCCTTTTGATCCGTCTGTTTTCTCTTTTCTTCTTTCCTAAAAACAAGAAGGGAGGAGACGGGAACGTGGCAGGAACAATTTTGACTTGGGTTGATATGAAAAGTTTATGGAACTTTGCGCTATGGTAATTTAGCAGGTCAAGCTTTTATGTACAATTTGGGAGGCGGACTGGTGAAAGAAGATTAATTTTAGCATTTCTGTGAACTTTATGCATGACTTGATATTATCACATTGTTTGCTGAATCATATCTTAAATTCTTCGAAAACCTTTTATACTCTCTCACGTTCGAAATTTATATTTTGAATATTTAGAATGTATTGAGGAAGGAACTGGGAATGGATGAATACCTTCCTGCTGTTTTACTAATGGGTGGTGGAGAAGGCATGGGTCCCATTGAGGCTACTGCAAGAGCACTCGGTGATGCATTGTACGATGAGGCTAACAAGAAACCAATTGGTCAGGTTCTTGTGATTTGTGGCCACAATAAAAAGCTCGCCAACAAGTTGCAATCTGTCAACTGGAAGATTCCCGTGCAGGTACTCGTCCAAAAAATTCTTTCATTGCCTAAAGGAGCAGTACAATTTCAATCCCACTCGATGAGAATAGTTAATGGCATTGTAAAAATTACGTGTTCTATTGTGATGACTTACGGGAGATTCGCTTTTGCCTTTTTAGGTTAAGGGCTTTGTCGCGAGAATGGAGGAGAGCATGGGTGCTTGCGATTGCATTATAACCAAGGTATGTTAGCTATATAGAAATCTGAAAATATAAAACTTGTTATCATCCATTTGACACTATAGGACATGCTTAGTACATGAACCGGGCTGAACTGTATGCACAAGATTTTAGTTTCTTTTTCCTTAACAGTGTCTAATCCATTTTAACAAACACGCCACACTGGTGATCTACAGGCTGGCCCAGGAACTATTGCGGAAGCAATGATTCGAGGGCTTCCTATAATTCTAAACGGTTACATTGCTGGTCAGGTAAACACAATATTCTCGTCTACAATTTTTATTTTTTTATTTTTTTGGGCAACAGATGAAATTCTTCTCTCGGTTGAAACAGCTACCTCTTTTTTTTTTATTTTATGTTTTTTGATTAAAAAAATGCATGTAAATATGGCAAGTTACGTTTAATCTTTCATGTCGAGGAGTTCATTTGGATATTTTTGCAAAATTGAGACGTCCTTCCTGATTGAAGTGGTCAAGCTTGCTGGTTCTTTTGCCAGACATGATTTCCAAAGTCACCTTTTTACTTATAAAACTTATTTTTTTGGAGAGTCTTAAAAGGAATCTTTATGAACAGCCAAACATGCCCAGGTAAACCGCCTTCATAAGGTTCAGTATACTTCTTTTAGTAATCAGTGCATGCCATATGTTGTCACGCACCTATCTCTCTCTGGCATGTTCTGTATGTAGTACTGGTCTGTAACTTTAGTGCATGTTTGGCAAAGCTTATAAGCAATCATAAGCTGGCCAAACTCTATGTTCATCCACACATTGTAGGACCCATAACTTTTTTCTAATAAAAGCTTTTACTTAGGATTGTCACCGATCTATGTTGACAAGCATACCTTACATTCCATCAGGGTCATTACAATTTCATACTCGAATTTCTTCTTTGTTATAGGAAGCTGGGAACGTGCCATATGTCGTCCAAAATGGATGCGGGAAATTTTCGAAGTCTCCAAAAGAGATAGCTAATATCGTTTTTCAATGGTTCGGTCCAAAACAAGACGAGCTCAAAGCCATATCGCAAAATGCATCGAGGCTTGCAAGGCCAGATGCTGTATTTAGAATTGTACATGATCTTCATGAATTGCTCAGACACAGAAACTTTGTACCCCCACAGTA